GTGTGGGATCCTTTGTTGGTGGGTCACACACTCTGTAAACACTCGCATAGTGGTGCTGACTGAGACCCTGCAGAAGGGAATGGTAAACCCAAACCCGGAATATGTGTTGGTTCCAGTCGGGATGAGTTGCTGCCGCTTCCATAATAGAAGGGGTGAGTGTAGTCAGTTTGCCATCAAGTAGCTGATGGTGTGTCCGAGGGATGGTGCTATATTGGGTGCTCAGCTTCGGTGTGTCTTTTGCTGGAATGTTACACAGTCAGCAGTGGCAGTGGCTAGCTCAGTTTTGGTGAGTAGGAGCCCATGCTTTTGGACCCAAACATAGCATTCATCACTGCCATCATGGCTACTGCACATACGAGCCCATTGTGCCATGGATGGACAAAGATATAAACCCAGTAGTTAAAGTGTTGTATGCAGTTTGGGCCATATTAAATATGACACAAGTATTTGTATAAAGCATTTTTGCCCTAGAATCATGATAGTCATAAAAATATGAATGTAAGCATCACAGTTACAAATGGTTAACATGTAATATAAAATGTAAATTTGTAGCCATTGTTACAAGCTTAATTATACCTTAATTCCAAGTTCCTGGGTTAAGCTATGTACTTCCATGAAGTCATCTGCCTCAAAAATAAAAAAAATGACTGGAAATCATGTCTGAGGCCCTTCATACAGCCTGACAAGTTTGTGGTAATGGAGTGAATTTACACAGAGAAGCCTGTGCCCTCTTCCTGGAGACTCTACTTATAATCTGTAGCTTGTAGCAGGGGTCTTCAGATAAGTTAATGAAAAAAGATGAAACTATCTGAGGATAATAAGACTGACTGGTTCTAAAGAGTCTATTATAATTACCAACAACATTAGAATGGAAGATAACAGAATGCTGTAATGAAGAATAATGAATGTCAGTCCATGTGTGTAAATCAGTGATTACCCTGGAGTGAGAGAATATTATGAACAATAAGGGCATTGATAAATATTCAGAGCCTTTTAATTAATGCCGTAAACTATATAACAATTAAACCCAATAGATAATTTAGATTTTTCAAAGACAATTCTCATAACCTAACAATAGAATCACATAATTTCAGTTGTTGCATCTGTGGATTTGTCATAAGTTATAAAGACATTGCTTATTTAAATTTCACTCATGATCCTAGCCAGTTTGCACAGTGGATATAGAGTGTCAGCCTGAAGGGTCCCGGGTTCAATTCTGGTCAAGGGCACATGCCTGGATTGCAGGTTCTATCCTCAGTAAGGGGTGTGCAGGAAGCAGCGGATCAATAATTCTCTCTCATCACGGATATTTCTCTCTCCCCTCCCTTTCTCTCTCTGAAATCAATAAAAAAAAATATATCCTAAAAATTAAATGAACTTCATTCATGAATACATTATTATAATTCAATTTAGATGACCACACATGTTTACAATTTGAAAATGTTGAATGTTTAGCAAAATTTTAGCGTAAGGCCAGTAAATTCTGTATAGGAAACTTAGAAATAACAGGTAAATTAGATTTTTATGAATGTAAATAAGCCCTAATCTGTATAAACTAAAATATTAATGCTACCATTTTAACTCTGTGATAAAACTATGGACTAGGCATATTGTAAAACTAGCCTAATGTACAGAGATTCACAATTCCAGGTAAGAGCACGCCTATCAGTGCGAAACTGGACTGAAGAGTCTGTCGAGGGGGAAAAGTCAATCATTTGCCTGGACTGGGAAAGAGATTGGTTCATGGTGGCTTTGCTCGCTAAAGACTGAAGGCTGAACCCTTAACTAATTCTGGATAGGACAGAGTTAGTCCATAGGTCTTTAGATAGCTATCAAAATGAGTGCCATTTTTGATTAGTCAGGAAAAGTTTTCAGTTGGGTTGGTATGAATTTGTGCTTCAGCTGTGGGATGCTCAAACGTGATGGTTTGTCAGCTTCAGTTGGCGAAAGCCCATTGCACTGAAATAGTTCGAATGGTTTGAGGTCTTCTAGCAAAGGTTTGATCTGATCAGAAAAATTTCTTTTTACTTTAGTGAGTATCTAGTTGCTGTCATGTTATATCCCATTGGATAAGTTTACAAGAGTGGTGTAATAGTTTTATTTTAAAACTTCAATTTTCTTTTGCCAGGCAGAATGAACTTAGCATCTAATTTAAACTTATGGTGAACATATTAGATATTAAAATATAAAGTGTGTGAAAGTATATATATGTTTATATTTAAAATTATAGCACATTTAAGCAAAAATATCTGAAGTTCTCTGTTTTAAGATAAATGTTGATTCCCTTGGGTATTTTCTTTGTAATACTTTTGAGCTTTGAACATGTGAATAAAAATGGAGAAGTTTAGTTATGTGTTGTTTAAAGTTTTGGAGTCAAGAGCGGCATCAACTCTTGTTTCAAACAACATTAACTCAAACAGGCAGTCAGGCTATGGTCAAGAGATTCCCTCGCTCAACCCTCAGTTACATCCGTAAGCAGTAAAATAATTTTGGTTTGTTTCTGGTAAAGCCTTTTTTTTTCTAGTTCCAGCCAAGGCTGTAAACTGAGTGTCATTTGGTACATGCCCTAGATTACAGAAGGAAAATAGGCAACAAAGCTTTAGCTGCTAAGAATAAATGTTATTTATACTTTATTTCAGAGCTCCATTGCACTAAAAAAAACTCAACCCTCCCTAGCAAAACATCTCTCTAGGTCCTTTGTATTTATAATTCTGAAGTCAGTTGGATCTGACTTCGCATCCCTATTTTCTTCTCTGATAGTGATAAACAAAATAGCCCTTAACAATCATAGAGTCAGTTGAAATTCGGTTAGGGCATCTGTCAGTCCCATAATATCAAGTGTGGGCCAGCATTTAAAAATGGGTAATTAGGATCCTGCTCTTTTTGCTGTACTGAGATCCCTGCCCAGATCTCCCCATTGCAGATGGCTTGTGGGAACTTGGCCCATGAAAGCCCCAATAGGGTTCTATTTAAGTCTCTGTGTTGGACAATAACCCTGAAGCTAGGGCCTCTGTGACTCAGCCAGATTAGAATCCAAAACAAAGCACAGAGCTGATTACCACCAGATTCGTCTGCAAGGGACCCAACAGAGCCCTGCGCCCCAGCTGTGGCTGGCCTTGTTTGTTTCTGGTATCCGCCTGGGTGTCAGGACTGTATCTGTGTCTCCCTGAAACCAGAGGCCAGTAGAAGGGTAGGCTAATACACTCTCCCGCTGTACTGTCAAATAGAGCATGGCTAGTCACATATTAGACCCTGGAAGACTTTGTCAGCCAGGTGATGGAAGTCATTCCTGTTGATAGGTCTTAGCAATCAAAGGACTCCTTCATTTATATATGGCATTATAAAGAACTTGGCAAGTACATTACCCCATTTGAATCTCATAACTACTTAGTGGTATGGGAGAGGTTTGTAGTATAATTACTATTTTCAGGTGAAGAGAAAAATTAGAAGGTTGAAGATTCCCCCAGCCAATAACAAGATCCAGTGCCATCTCTCTGTCAGCATCTATTTGATGTACAATCATCTGATGTATGAATTGATGAAGTGGTGGCTGGGTAATAGCATTTGAGATGCTGCTTAACAATACATTTGATACAGCAACATTCAGTAGACCTCTAGTTGTGGCTTCGGCTGCTATCATGCCAACAGTCCAACCTATAGATTTCCAACCATGTGGCATGTTTGTATTGCAGACTGAATGAAATTAAAATGCTAGCATGTTTGCAGTGTCTTAGGGGTTGGAGGAGAGCGATGTGAGGAAGCATATTTCTGTGTGGTTTGGGTTAGGTGTTTAAAGTCTAGAAAGCATGGAGTTGGTAATTGCATCATGATGTGCTAGCAATGACTTGTTCAATTCATCCGAAGACATGCATGCCACGTGTAGGAAGTTCACAGAGCTCAGCTAAGTTGTGGGGACCTGTTTAAGGACCATCACAGGGACTTCTCTCAAAAAAGCAATAATTTCACTGGACAGATAATACATGTGCATATAAAATAACAACTTAAGGAACTATTCACTAATGCCATGGGCAGGTACAAGTGGTTAGGCCTATGGTTTAGAATGAGAGTTCTTTTAATGTGAATGAATTTTTTAAGTTAAAATTATCTGTAGACATTAAGCAAGACTTCTTCAGCCAGTGCCTTGGTAGCTTTTCTGCTTGTCACATTTTCTTTTGATCACTTGACAAGAGCCCTCTTTGAAAAATGTTTCGTCGTTGCTCTGAATTCATTTTTTGGGGTTTAGATTTCACAGGCAGATAGAATAGATGAGCCTGGGGAAGGCTAAAACCACCCTTTGAGTATTACTGCATGCTTCTCTCTGGTCATTATGTAGGGAGAGCAGCCAAAAAACACCTCTTCTGTTCTTCCGTTTGTTCATTTAAGAGGATTGAGTTTGCCATTCCATTAATCTCATTGCTGATTGCTGGTGAAGAATAACATAGAAAGCTGCTTGTTTTGAGTCCCAACATCCCAAAGGGATGATCAAAGTCATTGAATTTCTTTCTGCACCCTGGGACTTCTCCCACATCCTCACTTCTGGGTCCTAACTCTCCGATCCTTTATTTCTCTCCATGTGGGTTCTCAGATATTGAAGTTGTTAGAACTTCTGAGATGGATGACTGTTGTTATAGAAAACCATGTGAACCAATTGTGACTTTCCTTTTGTTTTTACTATCAGAACCACATTCTATTTGGGGAAAATGCAATTCTCTCTCTCTCTCTCTCTCTCTCTCTCTCTCTCTCTCTCTGTCTGACTTTGATAATTTTGAGTACTTAGTGGTACAGCAGATACTGGTACCTCCTCTCTAACAGTCAGATGACTTGGGGATAGGAAACTTTTGCATGGCAGAGGGTGGAGAATGTAAGTGCTGAACGTGTCCCAGTTACCTGGAGTGGTGGGGTCAGTTCTGTCTCTGTTCACTTCCTTGGACTTCAGGAGGGCAGATGCACACTGTGATTGAAGTGGTTTTAAATTTTCTATCTCTTGTCCTAACACCCAGGGCTTTCAGCAGAAATTCTCCTTCCACAGTAAAGAGATTGTGGCTATCAGCTGTTCCTGGTGCAAGCAGGCGGTAAGTTGGGAGATGGAATAAAACAAAGTGGGCTCATGTTCTATAAAAATAGACTTAGGTCATTGCTTGAATTCCTGTCTGTAAGTGGAAGGCCATCCAATGCATGTATTGTTTTCCTCACATAGGATCGTTGGAGGAAGAAAGATATTTAAAACTATAGAATTATAGCACATATGAGCTGGAAGAAACTATAGAGATGAAATAACCCCTTCATTTGTACACATTGAATTCTGGGATCAGAGACTGGAGAATTCTTCCCTGGTTCTGACTCTGGGTCTAGAATCAAGGACTTCTCCCTCTTAGACCATATATTTTTTTCCAGTTACACTAGGTTGTTGACAACTTTTCCTATGGTAGGAAGTTGCACCATTAGGAAGAAAGCAACTTGCAACATTAGGTAATCCTTCTAACAGGGCAGTCTCGGCATCTTGGTTCTTCTGTTTTTTTTATGTAGGCACCATTTTTTGTGTGTGGGCGGGAGGGCTATGTTAGAATAAGGGTGGTTTTGTATCCTTTAAATTTCAATGTTACAGTTGTCTGCATGCTCATTGAAATGTAACTCTTCCTTACACTTGAACATATATACTCATTAGAATCCAGTAGTAAATTTTTATATTACTTTCCTTCTTTTTTAATCTATCCCAGTGATGGCAAACCTTTTGAGCTTGGTGTGTCAGCATTTTGAAAAACCCTAACTTAACTCTGGTGCTGTGTCACATATAGAAATTTTTTGATATTTGCAACCATAGTAAAACAAAGATTTATATTTTGATATGTATTTTATGTGTTTAAATGCCATTTAACAAAGAAAAATCAACCAAAAAAATGAGTTCGCGTGTCACCTCTGACACGCGTGTCATAGGTTCGCCATCACTGATGTATCCTTTTTTTAAAGCCCCTCTGTCCCAACCAGATGGTTCATTTTCCTACTTGTTTGCCTGTGTACCTCTTCTTTCTTTAAGCAGACAATGTATATACACTCTAACTCATGGGTCGGCAAACTGGCCCATAGGCCAACTCTGACTACTGCCTGCTTTTGTAAATAAAGTTTGACTGAGACACAGCCATGCTCATCCATCTATGTATTTCCCTAGGCCCCCACTTGTCAGGAGAGCCTACTGCTGTTATGTAGAAATGCATTGGTTTGAACAGCTCAGAGCTTGGCATTTCCCTCACCTTTTAGTTAATTGTTACTGAAATAGTCCTTGTGCTTCAATTCAGGAACACATTCACAAATACAAGGCCATCCTAGTTCTTGATTGGAACTGTTCCATCAAGGCAATATCTCCATCTGGAGTGGAAGAAGCAGATTCAGGGTCCAGGTGTCCAACAATACTTGTGTTGCTGGTTTCCCTGATCTGGTAAAACCCCATTGGGGTTCAGCATCATTGGTGGCCACGGGCTCAGCTAGGCAGTATCTATTCTTGCCCCAAGAGGTCTCAGGCTGTGGTTAGATGTTCTGTACACATTCAATGAATTGGGAACTTAGTCCCACTTTCTAGTGAACACATGTGCTCTCTCTTCATTGATCTGTAGTCCAACTGAATCACTACAAAGATGACTTTCATTTGACCCTTGTGACAGAGCTGTGCTTAATTCCACATACTTTTGGGTTTCCCAGGATCACACATAGAGGAGGTGATTTTGTAATGTTTAACAATACAATACCTTTTTAAGACAAATTGTGGTGGGGGTATATTTTAGCACTACAGGTAATCCCTTCTAGAATATCTATGTCAAACAAGTAATGTCCTCTATGGGCACTTACTGCATCAGGGGGAAAAAACTGGCATTGGGAGCTGGGTTTCCTGGACTCAGGTTCTCACATTACCACTTTTGGACTCTTGTTATTCTCTCTAGATTGGCAGTTACTCAGATGTAGAGTCAGAGAGTTGAAATAGGCAGATTCTGAGATCCCGTCTATTTTAGACATGCAGTGGCCATTCATTTGGGAGTTTATTTGAATTTCTAAAAGTGAATCACAATTTTTTCTTAATTTGAGAGAATTTTAAATTTAAGAAAAGTTGCAAAAAGTTGCAAAGTGTATAACATGAATGTATACATTTTCATCCAGCTTCCTCTAACTCCCTCTAATTTTGACAACTTACATAAACATAGTACAATGAATAAAATCAGTAAATATTGATATATTATTAATAACTAGGCTACAGATTTTTAAAACATTCACAAGTTGTTTTCTTAATGTCCCAGGATCTATTTAAGGATCCCACAGTTCATTTAGCTGTGGAATTCTTGACATTTCCTCGTTCTTTCTGTCTTTCATGACCTTGGCACATTTAATGAGCACTGACTGGTTATTATGTGGAATGTCTCCCAAACTGAGTTTGCCTTGTTTTCTCATGATTAGATTGAAATTATTCATTTTAGGCAAGGTATGAGAGAAGGGATGGGATGTCCTCCCTGCATCTTATTCAGAGGGCATAATGTCAATGTTTTATTATTGATGATATTAACCTTGATCACTTGATTAAGGTGGCATTTGCTATATCCTTTTCCAATTGATAAATATTTGGGGAAGATATTTTGAGATTATGCTGATATATTTCTCCTCAAACTTTTGCCTACTGATTTTAGCATTCATTAATGAATCTTTTAACAAAACTATTTAAATATTTAAAACATTTTTTTAAAAGAAATAAACTTTATTATTCAGAACGGTTTTAGGTTCACAGCAAAATTGAGGTGAAAGTAGGGAGATTTTTCCATATATTTCCTCTCCTTACACCATCACACATTCCCCACTATCAACATCCCATGAAGAAATCACCTTTAAAAAAAGATATTCAAAGAACATTTCTCTGGTATATCAAATTGTTTTCGGATCACAAATAACTGGTGGTTGGGGGAATTATGAAGCTATATCCCATACTTAATTAACTGATTTAGTAGTCTCTGGATCACGTCAGATCGTGAAGATATGCAGAAATGAAGACAAAACTTGCCTGATGGGGTATAATTGGGATGGCCATATTTTCCAGTTTCCTTGAGACCATCCTAATTTACATCTTTTGTTCCGAGATAATTATTGACAGTACTCCCTTTCACTCTTAAAATTGTTCCAGTGAAGATGATAAATTGTGTGGTCACATTAAATAGAATCCAAGTAGAAAGCATGTAAAATTTTTAAGAAAATCACTATAATTAAAACGTTAAGACTTATAATGTGATTTTATGTTTATTAGAAAACAGATGTCACCACACATCATTATCCCTTTACAGTCGCACAAAAGATGATTGAAAGCGTAATTGGCCTAAGGTCACTCAATCTATTCGGGGATAGATTTAAGCCTCTAAAGCATTGTTAGTCTACATTTACTTCCTTCCTTTCAAAAATAAAAAGCACTCTAGACTTGCCAAGTGTAATGGGACCATTATATTTTTTAGCAGCCTTCAAAAACCCAGCAGAAGCAATCTCTTTGTTCATTGTTGCCTCTTGGACTAACAGCTCTTGCTTCTTTCCTGGGTCCCTTATACTGGAAGACCATCTGAGAAGGATTTACATCTGTGGGTAGAAAAAAGAGGCACCTCCTTTCTGCTCATCTTCATTTCCTTTTCAACCTTATCCCAAATTAACCAAGTCTTTCACCATGCAAGTCCACTGAAACAAAGTTACGGCCAAGTTAGGATTAATAGAACCCTCAGTTAATATAAGAAACATTCAAACCTGTAGAGAACTTTTCTTTTTTTAATATATTTTATTGATTTTTCAGAGAGAGGAAGGGAGAGGGATAGAGAGTTAGAAACATCGATGAGAGAGAAACATCGATCAGCTACCTCCTGCACACCTCCCACTGGGGATGTGCCCGCAACCCAGGTACATGCCCTTGACTGGAATCGAATCTGGGACCTCTCAGTCCAAAGGCCGACGCTCTATCCACTGAGCCAAACCGGTCAGGGCTGTAGAGAACTCTTATATGAGTTTTCTTTGAGCCAAATTGATGACAATTGCTGAGAAACAAAATCTCAACAGATAGAGAAAATGCTCCAGAGAATAGCCGTTTTACAGCTTATTTTATACATTAGAATCAAAGGAAGAGACCGGGGAGGGGGGGGGCGGCTGTACATGAAATGGGTGGTAGATTAAGGGGGCAGGGGAAAGCAAAGCTGGGAAATCTCTGAAATTGTATAAAAAGGCAAAGTAGAGAAACACACACTTTTTTATTGGTGGGTACAGGATAGTTAATAATTAACATTTATTGCACACAGAGATGGAATATAGGAAACAAGATACAGTGAGGGTTTCTGTGGCCTCGGTTGTGGTGGGTGTGCCCTGAGGGGTCTGGAAAAGGAGATTACTCTGACATTTCAGAGGTATGTTATCTGAGAGGCGAAAGGACAATAGACAGGCTCACTTAGGTAAAAACTGACCTTTGTCAAGGAAGCTGAGGCCTAGGACATGACTACTCACCATGACTTGCTTTTAGTTAGGAATTTTTATGTTCGGACCATCCTGTGTGGTTACCTTCAGTCTCTGACTTTGTAGCACTGGCTTCCCCTGAGCTTGTCAGATTTAGTATGTGGCCATTTTTTCGTCCACACCTACAAGACTAACATCTTTAGGTAAATATCCTATTAAACCAAACTCATAGACACAGGCAATAGTATGTCTCACCAGAGTAAGAGAGGATAGGGGAGCTAAATAATGATGGGAGGAGACTTGACTTGGGTGGTGAACACACACTACAATATACAGATGATATATTACAGTATTGTACACCTGAAACTTATTTATTAATCAGTGTCGCTCCAATAAATTCAATACGAGTTTAGAAAATAAAATAAAAGTGAGGCACTAAAAACAAAAGCAAGGTTATAAAGTTTTAGCTGACCTGTCCTATAAGATTGATTTTTATTGTTATCATTTTATAAAGGGAAATGAATTCTAAATATGATCTCTGAGCGCCTGGGGCTGGTTGATGAGAAGCATGTGATGTGTGTGTGTGTGTGTGTGTGTGTGTGTGTGTGTGTGTTTGCATGTGCATGCATGAGCATGTACCCATGTACTTACTTCTTCTCATTGCAGCCTTGCTGTTTGCACAGAAGTATTTACTGGCCTGTTTTCTCTTTAGTTTCACAATAAGGTGACCTGCTTTATGCTGCATCAGATTGAGGAACCCTGCTCCCTGGGAGCTCATGCTGCTGTTATTGTCCCGCCCACCTGGATCATTAAGGTGAAGAAACCTCAGGTAACTGCAGGGACCCTGGTGCTGCTGGGCCAGTGCAGAGAAACAATAACTGTTGCTTCTTGCTTTTCTCCCTCTGACTAGTCTTTGGGTTTCTACGATCTCTGCTCATTCATCCCCTTGGTCCCATGCTCAGCTTCCCCAGTTCATCCCATTAGCCCGTCACCTTACTGCGTTGGGCTCTCTCATGGATCCAGCCTCCTCTTCTAAAGAAATCAGACTCCACAGCAGGAGTATTTCCTTCCCATCCATGTAATATCATGAAATGATATTCTCTTTGGGTTCTCTCCTGAGTTGTTTAAGTGCTAGTGGTGGCTATAGCTGAATCTTGTGCACCTCTCTTCTCTTCCATCCCGGGCGCCCCCAGGGAGTGAATGTGAGGGCCAACTGTGCAGGCTTCCTTGTTTGGTGGAGATCACCACCACTTCCGACCTGAACAGCAGACTGTGGGGCGTGACCTTCCTAAACACACAGGGTCTGCTTAGAGAGCAGCACTCCTCACTTAAGGCAAAGTAGAACTTAGCCTCTTAGTACATAATCTCACATTGCATTCAGTCCTCATTGTACTTTCTTCCAAGAGGGTCTCTGCTTCAATTCTGGGAAACCCTGGTGGTTTTTCCTAAGGTCAGAATCTTTGATAGGAAATTTCCTACCTTTGTACTATACATCTTAGACAGTAGCTCCAAGTTCTGGGATGATTTTCAGTGCCACAGGGAGAAGGTTATACCTCCCTAGGGTGCAGGAACCTTAGGAAGTCTTACTGAGTATAATATCTCTAAATGATGTGGCCATCCTTTTTCATGTGGGCTCCAAAATCATCATGCAATTTATTCCCATTGACTCAGTTTTTTATTTAAAAACTGTTGGATCAGCGACACTGTTTTGCTTTGTATGTTTTACATGAAGTTTAGTCTCTGCCGATGAGTAACGTTTGGTAATAATCTTTCCAAGTCATAATCCATGGAAGAAGCCCTTGGGAAATCTTTTCCAGAGACAAGTACGGTTTCTACACATTAAAATATGGAGCCTCTAGTCCTTTCATTTTGCATTTTAGATCCAAAGGCTAAGAGACGTTAAATGAGTTGCCCAAGGTGTTATACACAACTTTGTACTAAAATTCAAGTGTATTGATTTCCAATTTTGTATTATTTTAAGATCTCTTTTATATTTTTGCTTTTGTTTTCCCCCAATATTTACTAAACCTCTCCAAGAGCTTTATATTAAATATTCAGTGAAATCAACATCAAAAACCTCAATGGTATCAGGAAGGCTACTGAGCATTGTGATGCAATACATGATCTGTGCTCTGAATATCCATGTAGTTATCTTAAGAAAAGATCACGGAGAACTTCATAGAGGAGGTGGCTTTTATTCTGCCTCTTAAAGATAGGTGGGATCTAGATCAGTGGAGCAGAGAGGAAATAACAGGCAGGAGATAGGCATGAGCAAGGGTATTGGGCCAAAATTATATTCATGGGATTATGAGACTAGCTTGACTATAGTGGAAGATGTATGCAGGGTGTATGTAGGATTGGAGTATGTGTTTGCTAAGACCTAGCTGGCAGGGCATTTTTTATACATGTGAACTTTATCCTTTTAAGCAACAGAGTAATAGAGGAAAAATTATATTTTAGAAGGAAACAACTAGCAAGAGTGTGTAGGATAACCTGGTGGTATCGGATTTTGGAAGACTGGAGATAGACCAGTTAGGAAAATCAGAAGATAATACCACTTTCCAGGGAAATTGTAAGTTTCCTTTACTAAACTTTAAAAATATTTTTGTTATGGAAAATTTTAAGCAAGTGAAGAGAGAGAGAGAAGATTATAATGAACTAGAGGCCCAGTGCACGAAATTTATGCACTCAGGAGGGGATCCCTCAACCCGGCCTAGAGCGGGCCTAACCTGGCAGTCGGACATCCTTAGTGCTGCTGTGGAGGCGAGAGAAGCTCCCGCCACTGCGCTCACCAGTCGTGAGCCTGGCTTCTGGCTGAGTCGTTCTCCCCCTTTGGGAGCACACTAACCACCAGGGGGCAGCTCCTGTGTTGAGCATCTGCCCCCTGGTGGTCAGTGTGCATCAGCAACCGGTCGTTCCAGAAGTCAGTCAATTTGCATATTAGCCTTTTATTATTTTTAAATGGCCAGTGCGTGTCATGGCAGCTCCTGCATTGAGAGTCTGCCCCCTGGTTGTCAGTATGCATCATAGCTACCAGTTAGACGGACACTTAGCCTTTTATACATATAGATTCTTCTGTAGCATGAACTTTTCTACCATTATTGTTTCATATATTCCTGTACCACACCATAATTTCTGTTCTTTAATCATTTTTTTCTATTTTGAGATTCACAGGTAGTTGTAAGAAATAATACAGAGAGATTCTGTGTACCCTTTACAAATCCCCGCCCCTCCCCCCATTGTGATTTCTTGCAGAATCACAGTACAGTACATCACAACCAGATGTTACCATCAACTTAGTCAAGATACAGAGCAGCTGCCACAATTATCCCTCATGCTGCCTTTTCATAACCACATCCATTTCTCTCCTGGTCCCACCCCATCTACTCTGTCTTCCTGAAAATGGAAGTTTCTCCCCTTTTTTCTTTTACTGGGGTATCTTAAAGCAAGTCTTAGGATATCATTTAATCTGTAAACACTTCATTTTGCTTCTCTAAAATATAACATTTTAGAAAGACAACCACATTTTGTCACCCACCAAAATTAATAATTCCTTAAAATAGTTTCTGATTGTCTATTTTATATATATATATATAATCCTCACATGAAAACATTTTTTTCATTGCTTTTCAAAGAAAGTCGAAGGTAGGAGAGAGATAGAGCTAGATAGAGAAAGAGAGAGATAGAGAGAAACATCATCGATGTGAGACACATATTGTTTGGTTGCCTCTTGCATGCACCCTGACTTAAGGCTGGGGGCAAACCCACAACCCAGGTTCCTGCCCTTGACCAGGAATTGGACCTGCAGCCCTTTGGTGTGGGGGTGAGGTGGGTGGGTTTGTGTTACACTCTAACCACTGAGAACACGGGCCAGGGCTCAAATTTTTTTTTTCACAGTTATCTTTTTCCAATCAAGATCCAGAGTTCACAGGTGCTTTTTTGGTGACATATTGTAAGTCTCTTTTAATCTGTAACAATCCCCTCTTTTATTTTTCATGCCATTTATTGAATAAATTGGATCATTGTATCTGTGGAATTTCTCAGATTTTTATTTTTGTTGATTGTATCCTTATATTGTTTTAAAATGATTTCACGGAAGGCCCCTATTTCTTGTAAAATAATACTTAAACTTAATTAGAGTCAGGTTTAATTCAGGGGTGATGATATGTATTTCTGTCATGTTGCTAACTTTTAGTGATGTGAAGGTTGACCAGTAAGTTCAGGAACTGTCATCCTAATTCATCTGTCATAAAGTTGTCCATCAGCCTTTCACCTATTGTTTTATCTAATAAGTATTATTACCTATGTTATCATTTCATTAGGGTTGCCAAAGGGTGACTTCCCAATTTTTACTCTTCATTTTTTGGCTATGATTTTCCTATAAAGAAACTGTTCCCTTATTACCAGCAAGTACATTACAAGTGCTTGAGTATTT